TGGGCTTATTTCTTGATTTGTCTAAGGCATATGACACTCTGAATTATGATATTTTATTGATAAAATTGCAATACTATGGATTTCGAGATTTTACACTTAAATGGTTCGAATCGTATTTGTCAAATAGAAAGCAAGTAGTGATCCTAAAAAACTGTAACGGTGTCAAATCTGAAAGTGACGATATAACTCTAGGAATACCTCAGGGAAGTGTAATCGGTCCAATTTTATTCTTAGTGTATATAAATGATATATTAGAAATAACAGAAAATATTAATTATTGTAACATAGTGACATATGCTGACGATACAAATCTCCTCATTAAAGCAAAAAATATGCCAGAGTTGTTAGATAGATCAAGGGAAATTATAGACAATGCAAACATTTGGTTTAACAAAAAATCAGCTTATTTTGAACAAAACTAAAACTAAAATTATTTTCTTTCAAACGAAGCGCACGAATATACAAGAATCTGATATTATTCTTACAGACGATACATTTTAACACCAGAAAACAACGTAAAATGTTTAGGATTATATCTAGACAAAAATCTTTCATGGAGTTTACATGTTAAACATGTTGTTCAGAAAATCTCTAGATCGGTCTACAACCTGCGCATATTAAAAAGATATTTAGACTTTAAAACTTTAAAAAGTGTATACCACGCCATATTTGAGAGTAACATCAGGTATGGAATGGTAATATACGGAAGTACAAATGAACTACATAAAATATTTTTAGTTCAGAAAAAAGCCCTACGCGTTATGTTAGGCATGAAAATGTAGAAATAAGTTTAAAGAGAATAACATACTAACAGTGACAGCTATTTTAATTCAGGAGTGCACTTTATTTTTCTTTAAAAATAAAAACCTATTTAACATTGATAAGCCACAGATAGTATATAACACCAGGCATTCTGATTATAATTATCCAGTCCACAGGCTTAAATTAACAGAATTAGGACCATATTATTATTGTTTGAAATTATTTAATAACCTACCCGATTATATGAAACAAATAGATAATATCGTGCCTTTCAAAAATCATTTGTATAAATTTTTAATAGATTTGGAACCATATAATTTAAAGGATTACCTATCTGTAAATTAATATAAATTAATCATAAAACTAGGTTAAGTTATTTTTGTTTTTGACTCTGTTTCGTTTTATGTTATTTAACATACTTTTGAAATAAAGATTATTTATTTATTTATTATTTATTTATTTATTATAAATAATTAATGAATATTGTAAATTAATTAATATAACATACATTATTTAATAAATAAATGCTATTTTTGTTGATATTTTGTATGTTTTATATTTGTATTCATGTTTTTAATGTAATGTTAAAGAATAGATATTTACTATTTTACATAAATGAATATTGTAAATGTATAATATTGTTTATGTTATAAAAAGTTACGCCCGTGTCGCATTACTACGAACTATACCCGATTTTGGTGCATTTCTCAATTCCATTCTATACCGTGTTTAGAGACATCTTCACTGCTGAGCTAAGCTTGAGGGCGGGGCTTACAGACCTTTTGCTCTCTACATGGTATATTATGGAAATACGCAGGCGGAGCTTAGAGACCTTATGCTCTCTACATGGTATTGTGATAACTTGCGTTTAAGGGGTAGTTTTACTCATCAATAAAAAGCAGTCTTCCATCTGGAGTATAAAATAAGTCTATATTTTAAAACATTAAAACTAATTCCATTCAATAGTAGAAATGCCTCGTTAGCAGAATACGTGTTATGCTTACTATGCTAGACTACCTAAATGAACCCAGTTAAACTTATTACTTAATTAATAGTTCCTTATATACAGGATGATTAAATAAAATAATATAATATAATAAATATCTATTTATACTACAGTATATTATGGAAATACGCCTCCGGATCCCCTTTTTTAGCTATTTTAAGAGCCGAGGGAAAGACCCCCAGAATCCATTACTGATTTGATTAAACGAACATCCAGTCCATATATGACTTTACTTTTTTTGTTTTTTAGATTGTTTATGACATCCCTCATTTGATTAAATGTCGCTGGAAAAAAACTAAACCCATTTTGCATAGGGATATCTCTGATATTGAGCAAGGGGTCTCCCCCTCCCCCCGGGACGTCCTTCATCAGATCATGTGCTATCTGGGAAAAATAATCACTGAATTGAGTTGGTGAAATATTAGGTTCTGCTCGATTTTTATTTGTCCCTCTGTGACTGTTGATAATATCCCACTAGAGCAAATTGGGTTACTGGATGATGCAATAAGATTGTCGTTTGACCAGTTTGACTTAATTTTAGCTTCACGGATAGCATTGTGATATTGTTTTTTAAAATTGTTAAGACTAGTTGAAACGGCAGGACAGTTATATTGCCTATTGAGTTCCCCTAAGAAATGGAGATGTTCGCGCATTCTTAGCTCTTCTGTGAACCAATTCACACTTCTACCCTGATCAGATCTGACCCTATATTTTTTTAACGGAAAAGACACTGTATATGCCCTGTTCAGCTCACTCAAAAAACGATTACATTTATCTTCCACATTCACTCCACACAAACTCAGAAAACTCCAGTCAACATCAGACATCCTATTGTGAAAAGTAAGTAAGCCCAGTTGAGTCACTGGTCTACATGAAAAATAGTTTTTAGAAATACCTGATATGCCCTCCCGCCTTGGTATCGCTATCACTTAATTAAAAGCTTAATGAGTTATATAAATAAACAAATAAAGATAATAAAGCCCTAGTCAAACAATTTTCTTATCATCAGATCTTATCCTTATCAAAAACATTTCTTCTCATTATTTTATTTTTTTTTAAGTTTATAAAATGCTTGGAAGTTAATTTGTTTTAACACTTACCTTAAAAGAATTTACAAATAACTAGATATATAGATAATAACTAATAAAGAATTACAATAACAAAAGTTAATATCCAAAAACAGACAATCTATCACAGCACAATGACATGATATTCACTAAAGTTTTTCGAACAATATAAATTTGTGCAAGAAAAAGAGAAATACAACACATTTTGTTTTAAATGTGATTTTTAAATTGATTTGCAGGCTCTGGTACCTTTTAGGTATATCGTCAATCTTGAAGTTATTGATGTAAATTTGATATTAATATGTTCTACAATTAATATTTTAACGTTTTAAGTACGGATCGTCGGCTAAATGTTTGAGATCACTTCACTATTCTATTGATACTTAAAATTATTATTTTTAGGTTAAATTTACGATAAGTTGTCAATGTATGCGATAATTATGACAGATGAGAGAGAATGTGTTTTACTGGTTGTATTATTTTCTCTATTATATATAAGTCTTCTCTATTAAGTTTAATAAGAGTGACAAAGAAGACAAAGAATTAAGCCCCGTTCTCAGAACTGGGGTGCAACTTTGTTCATGTTTCAAAGCGATAGCAAAGTAATTTGTAGCTTGATGCACTATGTTCAGTAGCAACATCGATTCGTAGCGATATTCTGATTTCTCGCTTTGTGGCGAGGCGACAGTCTAGACACGTGTGCAAGAGTGTGATAGTGATACCATATTTCGCAGCATTTGAGCGACAATAGTTTTGCAATGAACATAGTATCGATCTGGTTTTGACATCGCTTCTTAACGATCGCTTGCTAACTTGAACAAAGTTGCACCCCTGCGTCGTGTCGACAGCGACACTGATTGACACTTCAAACGACCAATGGGAGCTGTACTAAATTTAAAATTGACAGCTGTTTGAATTTTGTACAAATCTGATTGGTTCTTTTGTCGTGTCGCTGGCGACAGTCGCAGTTCTGAGAACGGGGCTTTAGTTTATCTGTCTTTTGCTCGCGTCTGCGCATATCGCCTTGTATCGCTGGCGGTAACAATGAAATGTTGAAAATCCGGATTTTGTTTTATTTATACTTTCTTATTAATTTTGAAAAATAGGGGTAGCGATATTAAGTTGATAAGAATAGATATTATATTTTGATCGGTGTTACAGGTTGAGAAGAGGATCACAATGGTAAAAACGTCGGCCGTAACTGAGTTTTGATTGCATTGGTTACAACATTCTTTTTGGGGGGTTTGTTTTTGGTGTTATTCGTGTTATTTATGGACGATCCGCACTTTTTTTGTTAGAAAATGTCATTATAAATGTCATATTAAGTCTTCTTCTCAATTCTGTATAGAAAATTTTAAAGTTTTGATGTACCTAAAAGGTCCAGACCCGATTTGCATTTACCAAGATCACTTGCCCGTGGCTGTATCGTACTAAAACTATTTTGTATATCTTCTACTGACAAAGTGTAAAAAAGAACGTTTTTTTTCTGTATGGAATAGATGCACTGATTACTTTTTATAGTTTTATTTTAAATAAAAGAACAATCAGAAATTAGTTTAAAAGATTAAAATATATTTGATTTAAATTTTTAATGTCTGTTCATAGATAGACTCCGAATTTTCTTGTAATATAAATCATCTCTAGAAATTCTCTCCTGCGTTTGTTATATTCTGTAGTTGTATGTATGTATGTATGTATATTCTGTAGTTAAAATTTTGGTGTCTTCGTAATTCATGTTATGATTAGTGGTGCTTTTGTGTTTGGTCAGAGCGGTTATATTTTTTTTGTCATATTTGTGCTCTCTTCAAATATTGTGCTCCCCAAATATTGTGATGTTTGTCCAATATAAACATTTGGGCAGTCTTTGCAAGGTATCTGGTATACCACATTCATGAGTTTTTTTTTATTTTTAGGTGTTTTACTTTTTAAAGTACTGAAATTTTTTCTTATTGTATATTATTATTTTTTCTTATTAGGTATATCCTTTGTGACAATTTGTGTTTTTTTTTAACTTTTTAACATACCTTTTAGTAAATAGTAAATAAAGGTTGTACTTGGTTGTAGATATATGTATAAAACCTAATGTCCCAAGAAAGTTAATAATTTAAGATTATTATTTAGGTACCTCAAGTAAAAGGAATTAAAAATATTTAATAAAAACTTACCATCTTAAGCTTATTGTGCTCATACATACTGCAGGCAATAACAGGAATGTTAACGTTAGTGCAAAATAAAGGCCATAGCCTTGTGTTGAGTAGAAATACAGTAAGCTAATTGTCAATAATAAGTCTGTAACATAAGTTAATATCGATAGAACTATACATAGCATGTAAAATGGTCCAAAATGGTGATTGTTTTCTGATAGTCTGCCTCCCGCATCGTTGGATTTTATGTTGTCTATACGAGCCAAAGAGGACTCCCTTGAGAACTGGACTACTGGACATTGCTCTGCCATATTTCACTAATATCACATATATTATTTCCTCTCAAAAGTCTTTTCTACTCAGTAAACTGGCGTACAATGCCGGACAAAGTATTTTACGATTGGATAATGCATATTTAATAACATTTTGTCCCAAGATCCGGCCCAATATTGTTATGACGCACACCGAGTTTCCGTAAGTTAAATGCCACTGAACTACGACATTCTGTATTTACTGTAAGCAAAATGTATAAAAAGTCAGGCAAAATAAAACACACACAAAAACTGGGATAAATAACACAGTTCTTTAAAATTATAAAGAACAAAATATCACAACGCCACGACAAACTGACAGCCACTAACAGACAGGTGATCAGGTGATTGACGTACAGGGTTGCCAAGGTTGCGTTCAGGGTTACAGGCAGGGTTCGGAAAACTACATGTTAGTTTTAAAAACTACATAAACTACATTACATGTAGTTAATGTAGTTTATGTAGAGGGTGTAGTTTATGTAACCTATGTATGTAACTTTCAAATATCAGAGGTTTGAAGTGAGTTTATAAAAGCTTGAAGCTTAAAAACAAACATAAGTATTTTAAGAAAACAGAAGAAATATGGTTTTAAAAATATAATATTTTACATAATTTTTTTTTGGTTAATTTTAAATTTTTCCATACAAAGGAAAATTATTCATAATATCAAATACATAGTTTATTAACTGTAGTTTTCATGTAGTTTAATGAACGGGAAAAGACGTAAGTTTTTGAAGAATAACTACACGTAGTTAATCAGGTAAATTTGCTCTTAATTAACTACTTCCAAACCCTGGTTTTACAGCAAAACAGGCATATAACTCTGTTTTTTTTTCTCAGGTATAGAATTTCGCAGACGAATGACAGAAGAAAAGCAGATACCGTCCCATACCAATCTATTGTATTTTAACTAAAAAAGTTTCTAATAATTTTTAAGTTAATATGGATGGCGTTTAATATAAATCCGTCATGCGTCGTGTCTTGTTGTTCTTAACCAGTTTGTTCTCCTGCTTCAGTTTAAGCGTCTTGATTTGCTTAGCAAAAGCACGGGAAGTTTGCAAATATTGCCACTTGTTAGAAACTTCGAATGGAAGTTCTAAATTGGATTTTTACTATTTCTATAACGTGTATTAAGCGAGTTTCGTTACCAACAGAATGAACGAAATTTAATTATCCTTTAGGACACCGCAATATGAGATTAATGTCAAAAAATTATTCAGTATAATATTTTATTTTTGGGTATTTACCTTTGTACTTTATAAGTACAATAGAGTTTAAGTAAGTACTTTGTACTTTAAAAGGCCAATAGCCACCTATTGATTATTTTTATGACTTATTTTTGAAGTGAAACTTCTTTAAGCGTGATGGGAGTAAAACATTCAAGGCCGTCACACGACACGTCTTTGGCGCACGAGCTAGCGAGCACGAGCTTGGAAACAAGTGGCAAGGATCGCACAAACACCAAAAAACTTTAGATTTACAAATATATAATTCTTCCTCTAGTCCTTATCCTCTCGTTGTGCGCTAGGAAGTAAATTTTGCATATTTTCATCGATAGGTAAAGCATCTAACTCATTTCCTAGCTCAGAATTAGAATTATTAGAGTTAAGCAACTCGCATTTTCATTGGAGGATTGTCATATTTGTTTCAATCCAATAATCAACGAGAATATTCGTATAATTTAACAAAATTACTGTAAACCACTATAAATACGAATTGTTGGTTAGGTTCAAAATTTTTTCTATTCCTAAATAAATTTAAGCGTTAACATTACCAGGGGTAGATGGGCCATATGGGAAAACAGGAAAATTCCCGGTGGGCCGGTGGGAACCCGATCAGAGCTCAAAAAAAGATTGGATTAGCAAAAATGAAATGGTTAATCTTCTAACTAAAGTGACGTAAGATTCTTAGTGACTCCATAACTAACTAATCAATTTGCATCAGTATAATTATTGTCACAGTTGATTTAACTCTTTCTCTGAGACATAACTCTTTCTCTGAGACACTTATAAGTTTAATAAACATCTGTTATTTGTTCGGTTTGAAGATTTTTATTATACAAGACTAGTCTATAAGTGCAAATATTTCCAGGGCTTGTAGATCTATCAAATCTATTCTCTTTATCGTGTTTCAAATAAGTCCAACCGAGTTATTAAAGTTTGAAAATTACATTTATTTTTTAAAATAATTGAGCCACCTAAATTTTTCTGTATTTGCATCTATTTTAGTGCCGTAATATCATAGATTAAGAAACTATACCGTGGGAAAATTTGCGGTGCACTGGAAGTTCTAAAAAGTTTTTTAAAATATACCGGTAAATTTTACAGAAAATGCATGGTTTTTAACATATTTTTTTGCAAAAAAAACTAATAGAGGTGTTCTTGGGGTCGAAATATACCACCCCTAAAAATATTTGCACTTATTTAAGACTCACCCTGTATTAGAATTAGAATAAGTGGGAGGGGGGTTAATCTCTGCGACCTTAGAGATCTATTGTGTCCCCCTTTCTTGAGTTATAACTCATCATACAGTCCCAGGATTTCCTACGGAGACCCGTGTCTTTCACAGTCGAGGAGCTACGACCCAGGCCGGGTAGACGAAACGATAGCTTGTGTCGCCTGTTGGGTTTAGAGGTAGGAGCACAGATAACACATAATCCAGATGGCTCCTTACGTGTTAAAAATTGTCACCCCAATTTCACTCCAATTTGGAAAAATATTGGAGTGACGTTTGAATAATCTGAAATTTTTAGATTCCTTTTCTAACTTTTTTGGGAGGTTTTGCTTCTCTCTTGCACAGATGTCGCTTAACCACAGTGGTTGCTAAACGTTATATCGAAATATATTTCATTTCATTATGAATATATAAAATTAAAAATTATGTAATTTATAAACATGAAATAGATATGTTAAATTAATATATAAATATTTAACTTAATACGTTCATTATTATTTTATTAATTTATCGTCACACGTCATTTACCAGTTGCCTAATTACGAAAAGTTTCATGTGACATTAACCTCAAAAATGATCTTTCAAAACGAACAACAACAAATGAACAAATAACACCTCTGATAACACGAAAGCTGATGAAGGTAATTATAAGCATTATTTTGAGTTTGTTTAATAAAATATAGGATACAATATAACTAAGCAAAATCAAACAGTTTTAGACAACCAATACAAGATTTAGAACTCGACATCGTGATAAACAAATTGTACATTCAGGAACTTGTTTAAATATTATAGGGATTATAGGCAAGTAATATTTTCACAAAACTAAACATTTTAGCATAAAATCACAGATAATATATAGAATATTACCTGTGATAAAATGTTAATACTGATGTATATTTATTCTAATCACATTTAAATTTAAACTCAAAATTTTCATAAAAAGAAAATGATAATTTTTCGTAAATATAAAGTAAATAGTATTACATATTTCAGGTTGATTGACAAATACTCTACAGTTGATTAGAGCCCATGATGATGCGAAGATAATTAATATCACCTAACTTCAAGAAACCAGTGTAAAGAAGTTTACATTCACAACTCATCTAACCATTATAGGTAATAATTTACAAAATTAGTCATTTTTGATGATAATATTAAGGTACTTAGGTACATTTTTATCTTCTAGATCAGTAGTGTCGTCATAGTTTAAATGAACTCACAGATAGCAATGGGGCACTGCACCGAAGCAGTATTACAAAATATGTGAAATAAAACTGTAATACAAATTGCTCTATAAAATTTAATAGAAATAAATTTATTTATGAAATTAATGAAGTTTTATCTTTCCTAGAAAAATAACAATTATATTTTGAACAATTAATTTAGAACATTAGAGTTAAAAAAATATATGTGTTAGGAAATTGTAACACATATTTTTAACTCTGTTATTCTAACTAGAATAACATATTTTTAATAAAATTCAGCTTATACTTTATACTTTTTTGCTATTATATCATCAGTTTGAACTAACGTATGAGCAATTCATTTATACTATAAACACACATGCATATTTTTTGATCTTTTTTAAAACCAGTGAATAATGCTGAAATATGCTACACCTATTAATTCTTATTAACTATAGCTAGACAGTTGAAAATTTTACAGATAATTAATGTATCTATGTTGCCGCTATAAGAACAAATACTAAAAACAGAATTAAATAAATGTTTATAAATAAAAAAGTACTTTCACTAAACATTATCGTTTAAGTAAGAATTTTACAAAGAATATTCAAGTCCTCGAGTGGCCGTGTGGTTAAAGGCGTTAGGATTTGAAGGCGGTGAGACGTAGTGAGGCAGGTTCGAATCGTAGGCAAGGTGACTGTTTCTTAATCTTTTTTTTTATTTTTACATATTTATTTTTACTTATTTATTATTGATTAATACAATTTTTAGCAATGTGTTTCTTCATTTTTTTTAAATTACTTACAAGCGCATTCAAAATTTCAGCTAAATCGGAAAAAAAGTTTACAATAATATAATGTCTGATGTTGTATAGATATGTACGTACATTCAATGATAATGAACTCGTGCGCGAGTCCGACTCGCACTTGGCCAATTTTTTGTTAATTGAAACGTTTAGAATTTGAATATCTGTTCGTAATTTTTTTTAATAAATTTATTTATGATAAACAATTTATTAATGAAATAATATGACCGAATTTCCTGAAAGTTTTTTCAAATTTGTACATATGAAACCTAGCTTTACCACTTATCACAGAAAATCTCTATTCCTTCCCTTATCACAGAATAATACAGGAACGAACCATATGCGACAAAGATAGAAGATTTAGATATGTCGTTACTGCTTTTTGTTTTTAATGGATATTTTAAAAGCCGGGTAATATATGGTAATCTTTGATGGTAATATACTGTATACCTTTGACTGTCTTTGATTACAACTGTGTGATTAGTGATAATTATTATTAAAATGTCTGGTAATAAGTGTCAATTTTACAATTGTGAGATTTCTCGGAAATCAGGTGTACATGTGTTTAAGTTTCATGCGTCAAGAGATCCTAATTTATGTACAAAGCGGATAGAAAATTGTGAGTTCATTCATATAGAATTTTTTTGCACATTTTGTATGTAAAAATACGGCGTTAAGTTACCTTAGAAATGGTGATGATGGTTTACCATATACCGTATGATCGAAAAAGTATGTCAGCGATGGCTATGAAATGAAGATCGCTGTCATTTGATATGTAAATTATATGGGGAATGTCATCGACCATCATTTCAGCCACCGGACGCCTTTTTTTTGGATCATACGGTATAATTTAACACATTAATAATTGTC